TTCTTATGTATTTAAAAAGTTCCTTCCCATCAATGATGGTTTAATCACAGGAATGCAAAGATAGTTTAAGCCGGAAAAACCCATTAATGTAGTTCACTAAATGAATAAAACAATACCATTTATAGGAGAAAGTATTTGGAAATATTTCTCTTTTAATGAGGGAGATGCTCTTAGTTAACTATCAAATGCCACTAACTTGACAATGATTAAGATTGCTCTCCAGACGGCTACCTCCAGTCTACATCCATCCTTGCAACTTGTCAGGTTTTCATTTTTACATCACCACTAATACTTATCTATCTTTCTAATTTTGGCTAGTTTTCAAGCCACAAGTCTTTTAAAAGACTTCTTGATGTTACCAAGTTTGGTCCCCTGTTCATCCGTTCAGTGCCCTGTGTGGGATTTCTGTGAGGGCCTTCACTACCGTGTTCAGTTTTGACTCTACTTCCTATAGACGGCGCAGCCCTCAACCTGCAAACAAGTTCTGTTCCTCAGTCTGCTTTCAAGTGAAATTCGTAGATTGTCAGGACTATTAGGAATGGTTTGTACATAACATCAATGAGATGTCTGTCTTAGCATAAAGAATGCTTTTCTGTTCACAAAAATATTGAACACTTCCAGAGATATTAGACATATTTACCATTTTAATTGTTTATGCGCACTGCAAAGTTGCACTTGCTTGTTATTATAAATCATTGTCTGGACCTCAATGGTACAGACCTTAAGGTGGGGGCTGGGGGGAGCAGAGCAGGGAGCTCCCGAGGGAGTGCAAAGGACAGACTCTGGGGCCAGAGCCTGGCACCCCATCGGACTTGACTGAGGACACGCTTGGTCAAAAATCAGACCTTGATCTATTTACAGGTTTTTCTTTCTTTTTCAAATTAAAACAAAAATTTTTAATTAACTTACTCTTTTATGGGTTTTCTTTTTTGTTGTCATCGTTGTGTTCTCTTTTGTCACTCTGTCTTGCTGTGCCTTGTTTTTTGGTGCATATTGTTTCTGCAGATCTATCTAGATAAGATAGGCTGGATGAACAGTCTGGAGGAGAAAGCAATGGGACCAATGGTTCCAGGGGACATGGGAGA